CGTCCTCTGTCCCTTCTTTCTAGGAAACCTTCCCTTTTTTAAAAGTGAAGTTTGCTCTGAATTTTCTGCAGAGTGTGAGGCATGGATATGGTTTGAGGTGGGGGGGTTCTCTAAGGAAGCCCCTGATGGGGGCCAGCCAGAGCTTTGCCCCCATCCAGGTCCCGAAGCACCTCAGACACCCTGGTGGCACATGCCTGTCACTAGCTGGCTCTGGCCTGGCACCAGGAGTGCAGGGGCATGGAGGCCCTTAGCGACCTTTTGTCTGCTAACCCAGAGAGAGGTTTCCAGAACTCTGTTACCTGGGAGAGGGCTCTCAGAGGTGTGAACAGATAGCAATACTTACCTGTTTGTCACTGTCACCTGGAGGTGGTGACTCTGGCCCCAGGTCACATGGAGGCCCCGGGGCTGCCCCTCTCTCTCTTTGCCCATGAGGGCGTCCATCCCAGGCAGGGGGTGTCCTGGTCCCAGTCTCTGCTCCCTCTGGGCCTTCACCCTCTGCCTTCGTGGAAGGGGTCAGTGCCGGGTGAGACGCTGTGCTTTAGCAGTAGGACCTGCCCCCTGAATTAGGTGAGCAAAGCTCTCTGCAGATTTCTGTCATCTGACTGAGTACACAACACTGAAACCAGAATGCCAATAGATGTTAACTGGTCCTCCCAGGACACCCGGGGGGATCCATTCATAAACAGGCTCTGAAAATATGACTCTTCCTGCTTCACTGCTAGTGTGGCTCCTCCTCAGGGCTCGGCTGCCCCTGTGGGAGCTGAAGTCTGTTCTCCGGTGTGGGGGTCACCCGTGGGATCCACAGTCACTCAGCTTTCTTGCAAAATCAGGTGGTTATGTCTGTAAGCAACATGCTCTACTCGGTTAACGTGATGGGAAAATGAGGTGGACTATAAAATCGGTTGTGTGTTCCCTGGGCCATTCCAGTTCAGTAATACCTTGTGTGTCAACTGTGAGCCCAGCTGATGCCCGTAAGCAGAATAGGTCCCACCTAGAAGCAGAGGGACAAAATGCACTCTCAGCTCTGGGGTACAGGAGGGGTTCTCGGCCAGGACAGTGGATCTGAGGTTGTCATCTGAACTCAATCGCCTGGGCTCAGCGGGAGTCAGGCATCGGATGGTCTGATGGCTGCATCTTCCCGCCACAGCCTCTGAGGCCTAGAATGGTGGGTGACCTGGGGGCTGGTCATCATCCACCCAACTTTTCTCAGGCACTTCTGCACCCACAGTGTCTGCCTTATGAGTGCAGAATGCTATGGGATGAGGACTCAGCCATGGTGGTGGCCGCATTAACTGGTTAACTCTCTCACCCTAAAAACCTTTTTTGCAGTTGAAGTTGGAGGTCATGACCTTTTCTTCTTTTCAAGGCCAGAAGCACACATTTTGGGCACTGGACCCTGAGACTCACCTTCCCTGCCTGCCCTCATGGCACGTCCTCTATACGTGTGCGGGTCCTTCTTCTTGTCATCCTGGGCCACTCAGGAACTTGCTCCTGGACCTGCGGGGAACAACCCTGTCCACCCTCCCCATCTCTCACCCTAAAAACCTTTTTTGCAGTTGAAGTTGGAGGTCATGACCTTTTCTTCTTTTCAAGGCCAGAAGCACACATTTTGGGCACTGGACCCTGAGACTCACCTTCCCTGCCTGCCCTCATGGCACGTCCTCTATACGTGTGCGGGTCCTTCTTCTTGTCATCCTGGGCCACTCAGGAACTTGCTCCTGGACCTGCGGGGAACAACCCTGTCCACCCTCCCCAGGGGCTGTGTCCCCTGCCTCTCATTGACCGAGCCGGTGAAGCCTACCCTCCCTGAACGGCCTTTCCATCTCTCCTTTGCATTTTCAGCCCCTTTCATCCAGGACATATGCTGTTTCTTTCTTGCTTCTGAACTTTGAAGGAGGCTGTATTCAGGTTTCCAATCGGATTTTAAATCTTGGCTCTTCCTATTATCATCCAGTGAGACATCAAATGTTAAATATGAGCGTTTTAACTTTCTGAGACCAATTTAACAAACTGCCTGCCTTCCCAAAGACTCTGTTGGTTGTGAGGTCTGGCTCCTTCTCCCCACCCCTTCCGATGGCCTGGGGCTCAGCCCCTTTCTCAGCTCCAAGAAACACCGGGTTTTGCAGTTCCTGCCTTGTGCTTTGTATTGTCATTGCAGCCATCTGCATTGGACCCACAGGGTGTGTTCTGCTCACCGACCTTTCTCATCTCCCCTTGACTTCCTGAAGTAACTAGATGGGTTTCTGCCAGGCTCTCCCTAGTGTAGACTCGACCAGCATACCTCTAGCCCCATCTCCCATGCTGGCTGAAGGCTTGCTCCTCAGCTGCGAGGGCACCCCATTCCTCCCCACCCCTACATGTACTTTCTGTGCAACCAGGACCATCCCCAGGGCTTTCCTGTTGAGGCACACGTTTCTGCCTGATTGCAACCCTTTTGGCTGCACACCTGGTGTTGATCTGTCCTGACTTTGAGCCTCCACAGAGTCTCCACCCATCCACTCACCCATCCACTCACCCATCCACTCACCAATCCATCCACTTACCCATCTACTCACCCATCCATCCATCCACCCATCCACTCACCCACCCACTCACCAATCCATCCACCCATCCACTCACCCATTCATCCATCCACCCATCCACTCACCCATTCATCCATCCACCCATCCACTCACCTATCCACTCACCCATCCATCCATCCATCCATCCATCCATCCATCCATCCATCCATCCATCCATCCATCCATCCATCCATCCATCCATCCATCCATCCATCCATCCATCCATCCATCCATCCATCCATCCATCCATCCATCCATCCATCCATCCATCCATCCATCCATCCATCCATCCATCCATCCATCCATCCATCCATCCATCCATCCATCCATCCATCCATCCATCCATCCATCCATCCATCCATCCATCCATCCATCCATCCATCCATCCATCCATCCATCCATCCATCCATCCATCCATCCATCCATCCATCCATCCATCCATCCATCCATCCATCCATCCATCCATCCATCCATCCATCCATCCATCCATCCATCCATCCATCCATCCATCCATCCATCCATCCATCCATCCATCCATCCATCCATCCATCCATCCATCCATCCATCCATCCATCCATCCATCCATCCATCCATCCATCCATCCATCCATCCATCCATCCATCCATCCATCCATCCATCCATCCATCCATCCATCCATCCATCCATCCATCCATCCATCCATCCATCCATCCATCCATCCATCCATCCATCCATCCATCCATCCATCCATCCATCCATCCATCCATCCATCCATCCATCCATCCATCCATCCATCCATCCATCCATCCATCCATCCATCCATCCATCCATCCATCCATCCATCCATCCATCCATCCATCCATCCATCCATCCATCCATCCATCCATCCATCCATCCATCCATCCATCCATCCATCCATCCATCCATCCATCCATCCATCCATCCATCCATCCATCCATCCATCCATCCATCCATCCATCCATCCATCCATCCATCCATCCATCCATCCATCCATCCATCCATCCATCCATCCATCCATCCATCCATCCATCCATCCATCCATCCATCCATCCATCCATCCATCCATCCATCCATCCATCCATCCATCCATCCATCCATCCATCCATCCATCCATCCATCCATCCATCCATCCATCCATCCATCCATCCATCCATCCATCCATCCATCCATCCATCCATCCATCCATCCATCCATCCATCCATCCATCCATCCATCCATCCATCCATCCATCCATCCATCCATCCATCCATCCATCCATCCATCCATCCATCCATCCATCCATCCATCCATCCATCCATCCATCCATCCATCCATCCATCCATCCATCCATCCATCCATCCATCCATCCATCCATCCATCCATCCATCCATCCATCCATCCATCCATCCATCCATCCATCCATCCATCCATCCATCCATCCATCCATCCATCCATCCATCCATCCATCCATCCATCCATCCATCCATCCATCCATCCATCCATCCATCCATCCATCCATCCATCCATCCATCCATCCATCCATCCATCCATCCATCCATCCATCCATCCATCCATCCATCCATCCATCCATCCATCCATCCATCCATCCATCCATCCATCCATCCATCCATCCATCCATCCATCCATCCATCCATCCATCCATCCATCCATCCATCCATCCATCCATCCATCCATCCATCCATCCATCCATCCATCCATCCATCCATCCATCCATCCATCCATCCATCCATCCATCCATCCATCCATCCATCCATCCATCCATCCATCCATCCATCCATCCATCCATCCATCCATCCANCCATCCATCCATCCACTCACCCATCCACTCACCCATCTATCCACTCACCCATCCACTCACCAATCCATCCATCCATCCACCCACCCACCCATCCACTCACCCATCCGTCCATCCACCCGTCCAGCGTTTGCACCCCTCTGCCTGTGCACTTGGTGCTTTGATAGCATGCAGACGTGAGAAGCTGCGGCTCCTGCCCTCAGGAGGAGTCACTGTGGCCACTCTCTGCAGGCACCGTCATGTACTCCCTCCTGGCCTTCTTCCCTCCAGTGCCTCCTTTGTGCTCTCAGCTGCGTGCTACTCCCACCACTCCCCCGAGACCTCCTTCTTGCGGCCACCAATGCCCTCCACATTGCTAAAGCCACCTGAAGGTGTTGGTCTTTACCTTCCTTGACTTTCCGTCAGCTCTCTGGACACAGCTAGCCGCCGGGTCCCTGGGGCACTGCCCTCTCCGTGTGCGTTTGGAGGCCCATGGCCGCTCTGGGGGTGGTCAGAGGGGGGGCAGCTGAGGGAAGCTGCAGCCTCTGGGAATCCTGTCTCCCCGCCACGCCTTCCTGCCCTGCGTCTCCTGCCTGATCTGTCCCTGCCAGAGTCCTTGCTGGCATCTGACTGACTGTGTGTCTCACGGTCCCCTCTCCCTCCAGACACTATGGGTGTGACACTGCTTCGCCCTGAGGACCGCTCTCCCAAGCTCACCTGCCTGCTGACATCGCCGCTTGATGCCTCTCCAGAATCATAAACGGAACGTGTCTAAAACTGAATTCATCACCTTCCTCTCTTTTCCCTCCTTGGTGATTATCACCCCAAACAAGTAAAAAGCAATCCCAAAGGAGAAGCCCACTCCTCTGCGGAAGCCCTGATTCGAGAGGCCAGAAGCCACCCCCACGCCAGGCTGTTTTCAGCCCTGGGGCTCCTCCTGTGGCACTACTTCCTGCCCAGCCTGGCACAGTCCTTCCTGTCTGCAGGCCTGTCCACACCACAGCAGGAGCAGTTTCCAATGATGCAGACCAGATGTGGTCAGTTTGTAGGAAGCATTTATACAGAATTTGTTCCCCTGTGATAGCAGTTATCCCCATTAAAGGAAGCCTTTTTCGTGCATGTGTTGATCCCTTCTCTGCCTCACTTGCTGGGTTATAAACTTGCATAAAGGGAGCTCGTTTACTTGTGTGTCCCCAAGCCCAGGACTGGGCTGGACACAGGAGCCAGGCAGCTGAAAGCCTGTTGAGCTGAAGGAGGTCCCCTCTGGCCCCTGCTCACGGCGCCCACTGCATTCTGCCGCACAGCGGACTGGTCAGGCGGCCTCCGCCTCCTGCCGCGCCGTCCGTGCTCCCTTAGCCTTCCCTCGCTTAAGGAAGGAGGTACAGGGGAGCAGTGTAGTGGCCGGCATCTCCACGGAGTGACCGTTAGGACAGCTTTGAGGGTGTGGTGGCCCCTCACAGTGTGATGGGGTTTCATCAAAGGTGCCATGCCATTCCCTTTTCTCCGGGTGACCATCAGAGAGTTTTCTTTTTCAAGTTTATGCCCTCGGTGGTTCAGTGGAAGTTATGGTGCCCCTAACAGCTGTTACTCCTTGCAACAGTGCATTAGAAATGAAGCTGAACTCAGGCTTGATGGAAATTATCCCTTGAAAGGGTTGAATTTGGAACATTTATTCTCCATTAATTTTTAAGCAGACTCTAAATTGAGCACAACAATGTCTGTCTTTCCTCTCAGTTGCAAGTTCTAGCTGACAAAGGGACGGCAGGTTGCCCGACTCGACTGCAGGCGCTGTGGTGTGCAGAATCCTGGACACGGGCTCATGTGCCCAGCTCGCCTCATTCCAGCTGGGCCCCGGACACCACTGAGTCACCCACAACGGCAGTGTGGAGTGTTTGGCGGCCTGTCTGGATGAAACAAACGGCATGCTTTCACTGCTTCTGCATTCATGCTGCCTGCTGGCTGCAGACACACAGAGACGCGCACGTGAGGCCAAAAGATTCTGCCCTGAAAGGGGAAAGAGGTGACTGAACACTCCTGGACCCCACATCCTTCCACTTTGCACAGACAGGCTCTCCTGCAGTGCAAGCTGACGCTGGGGCCGGGCAGTGCGGGCAGGTGGCAGTTCTGTTAGCAGCTGCATTTGCGTAACACTTCACATGAGGTTGAGCAAACAAGAACTGATTCTTCGCAGAGGGAGAACACAGGCAGTGAGGCATTGGACATGCCCTGCCCGGGCCACGCAGTGAGTGGGCAGCCGTGATTCAGCATGCTGCCTGCTGGCCACAGAACCATGCTTGCGTGCTGTACCATCTGTCCTCCGAACCCTTACGCGATTCTGAGTTGGAGGCAGACATGTGAGACCCCCTTACTCACCCGGGATTTGCGAGGCTTAGACGTCCCTTGGTGATAGTGATGGAAAGCCCAAGCTTGATGCTGGTGTGCGACCGACCTAAGTTACTGTGCTTGGAAGATAAAGACATCATCTGTCTAGATGTCGGTCGATCATTTACAAGGAGCTCCTGTACTTCATTTGCTTTCTTTGTGTCCAGCCGGGGCTTTGAACTTTGCTGGAGGAAACCCTGCAGCTGTGTGATTGGCACCCCTGTCATTTCAGGGGCTCCCTTGGCACAGGTGACATGCCCCTACTTGTCCCTCTTCACTCTCTTCTCCCCCCACCGTCATCAGTAACCGAGCAGTAATATTTTACCTGTCAGCTCTGGGATATGGATGTGACATGATTGTGACAGTTTCTATGAACTGTCTACAGCTGTGTGTCGCGGCCTGTTTCGGCCTCCTGCTGGTGTCTTGGCGGGATCTCTGGACTTCCGGTCACTGTGTTTGTCAAAGAGCCCAAGTGTATCCAACTCAGGTTGAGTCTCACCTTCCGCCCTGCCCTGGGAGGCTCTGGTGGCCCACCGTGGAGAGCAGGTGTGGCCTGTCCTCCCCTCTCCTCCTAGGCTCCCCGCTCCCCTGGTACGTCAGGGTGCGAGGGGTTGTGTCCTCTGTCACTTGGCATCTGTTGGACATGGTCTCTGGTCATCTGCACCTCTGCGGTCGTGGCCGCCTCTCTGGGTGGTGGCCAGGTGCCCGCTGACTGGTGGACACCCAGCGCTGTCCTCTGGAGGGCACCTTCATGGATTTCCTGGAAGTGCCACATGGGGGCCATACCAGGGCCCCTCCAAACTCCCTTCCCTCCCCTCCTGGGGAGCCACTCAGCCACCCCCCTTTGTACCCAGCCTTTCACCCTGCCTCTGAACCCCTCGCTCCTTGGATCCCATTGCCCAATGGGCCACCCACTTGGAAAGGGCGCAGCAAGAGGGCTCAAGTCCAGCACCATGGTGCGGAGTCCAGGGGCCCAAAGGCAGCAGCACGGGGCGTCCCCTGACCCCCACTGTGCAGCCCCCTCCCCAGTCCCCTGTTCAAGGAAAAGCAGGAGGGGCTGAGCCAGCCAGAGAAGAGTGCACCCTGACCCTGCGTGTGTCCCATCCCTCCCTGCTGCCAGGACCCCTTGGGTCCCTTTGCCCGGGGGCAGGAGGGGAGCCTGCCTCCCTCGAGGCACAGAGCCCAGCTCAGAGATCGTGGCTCTGCCCCATCCCCCATGTCCAGCTGCTGCCTCCCCGGCCTGGGCAGGGGCGCTGGAGGAATGGGAACTACCTGAAGTGTTGATTCTTGTTTGTCTGCAGCTTTGGGTTCTGAGAGCCGCATTTAATACAGCAGGTAAAGGCGCTCTCTTCCCAGTACAGTCCCGACCCCCAGTGCCCCCTGCCCCACAGGCTGTGGGCCGTGCCACTGCCCCCTCCCTTCCTGCCCCTTCCCGGTGACGCCTCCGGGTCTCCGTGTCACCCCAGCTTTCTCTCCCCCCTCTTGCTCCGCCGTCCCGTGACTGTCAGACCCCCATCAGGCCGGGTGGCTTCAGTGTCTGGGAAGGTGTCAGTGACTTTCCACCCGGCGAAGCCAATGTGCCTCGACAGCAGAAAATGTGATAGATTGTAGTAGACTTTGAGACTAGACACTTTTTAAAGGTAATTCACTGAAACACTGTTCTGTTTAGTCACTAGCTATTGGACTATTTGATTTTTCTTCTTCTTTTGTGTCATTTTTGTCCCCATGCATTCAAATAAGAATTTTTCACGCTCTTTGATAATATTTCACTGGGCTCTGCAGACATGGGCGTCCGCGTAGGCCCTGCCTCTGGCTTTTCTTTCCTCCTCTGACAAGAAGTAAAGGGCCAGCGTTGTGTGCAGCCACTACACTCCTGTGTACTGAACTGTTGTTTCCCAGGACTGTGACAAAAAGGACATTTGTAGAAAGGAAGAAAACCCTCACACACAATTTAAATTATTAGGAAGATTGACTTTTGAGTGATTTGTTTCTTCTAAAAAATAAAGAAGTCACCACATTTGTATATTTAAAGCAGGAATGTATTTAAAAGATTGTACACCGGATGCATTTGCAAACCTTTCAAGAGCATGAGCTTCATCAAGAAAGTGCTTAAATAAAAAACAAATTATTGCAATTTTCAGGTTGAGTAATAAAGTGTGTGTAATTGCAGTACCTAATTTATGCATTTAATGAAGTATATCTATCTTCTTGCAGGAGCGCCACTGATCAATTTGTGACGAAGTCGGTGTAATAAGAAACAAACACCGCTCCGGTTTAAAATCCCCATGTGTCTCATAGTACCGTACGTTAATCAGCGAATAGTTAGTGTCATCTGCTTGCCCAATTCTGTTTGCGCTAAGTACCATAGAATGTGTCACCAGTAGAGTCTGGTTGTGCCCCCAGGGAGCCCGGAGGGCTGACTGACACCCTCAGACCTGGTTTTACGCACCACCAAATTCACTGGACTGAGGGCTCTGCAGTCAGGCAGTCCTGGATTGAAATTCCAGCTTCTTGTCACTGCTGGCAGATATGGGGGAATTTGATGAACTTTCTGAATTTTGGTTTTCCTGTGTTAAATGGGAATAATAATTATACAAATCATATTTGCAGGCCAGGGTCATTGGCAGGCTTTTAAAATTCACTGTGACGGTGGTGATGGTGGAGGTGGTGATAGCAGCCAGCTAGTTAACCGCTGTGGCATGCCACTAACCAGTGGTTGGGAAGCCCCCAGGCCACAGATGTAGTGGGGGAAGATCAGGTGACACTTGAGGAGGGCTTCACAGGTTGATCAGATTCAGAATGGGAGGGAAGGGCATTTTTTTGCCCTGTTTGTGCAGACCTTGTGATGGAGTCCCCTAACTTGATTTCCAGGCAGGCTAGTTTAATTTACACCTGTACATTAGATGCACAACTGTCTAAAATTGGTTGTCTATAACCTAATGATGTCATGTCTACACAGCAGTCACAGAGCAGTATTCCAAATTGCTTTCAAAAGTGTATTTCTAGATATGTCAATTTCTTCACTTGCATTTTCCAAGAAGCATAAAGGAGATGCAGACCCTTTTCTCTCACCTGCCTGCTTGGTTCCATATTCCCTCAAACTCTGGAAAATTCTCCTGAAGCCTGCCCAGCATGCCTCTTATCCTTTCAATCCTCTCTTTAATCTGGCTTGGCTTCAAAGCCTCCAGCGAGGGGAGCAGCGGGAGGCGGCAGGTGAGACCGTGGGAAAGAGCCGTTTCTCTGCGGCTGGCAAAGCGGTGGGGCGGGGGGCAATGTCGTGGATTCAGTCACCGCTTACACACCTGTCGAGGGATGTATGTGCCTCCGATGACCTTTGTAAGTGATGTGTCATCCCACCAGGTTAACATGAGTCCCGGGCCATGCGCACCTCCTGCGGAGCGCTGCTCTGTGCACATCGGGGCTGTTGCAGGTGGCTCTTGAGGGAGCAGGACTCTTGTCTTCTGGCAGTGTGTGTGCAGGCTCAGAGCCTCCCCCCGAGACACGCTGATGCCTCAGGAAACGAGTTGCTCTGCAGAGCTGGAGACCTGTTCCTGCCTTCCTGAGGTCAGTAACTAAGCCGTAGTAAGGGTCTTCACTGTCCCCTGTGAGCCGTGTGACACATCTCTTGTTATTTATGCTCTTCCCACTTTCCTGTTATCTTCCTGCTCTATTCTTTTTCTTCTCTGATGTTTCTTCAGATGCCTTCGGAATCGATCATATAGCCGT